GGCTCAGGTCATGATCCTGGAGTCCCTGGATCGAGTCCCGCATCGGGCTCCCTGCTCGGCAGGGAGTCTGCTTCTGCTTCTGACCCTCCCGCTCTCATGTGCTCGCTCTCTCTCTCTCATTCTCGCTCTTTCAAATAAATAAATAAAATCTTTAAAAAAAAAACTACATTCAAATACTTCCACAATACACAAGATTTACAAAATATTGCTTCTGAATAAAAGCCAAAAGGAGTCCCAAAGAGAAAAGTAATCTGAATCCAAATGTTTATAGGTGTACTTATTTTCAAATCAAACAAAATTTGGGGATAACTTAAGATTCCACAAAAGGAGAATTTAAATTAGGGGATAAAATAGGGAAGATTTTGGGACACCTGGGTGGCTCAGTTGTTTAAGCGTCTGCCTTCGGCTCAGGTCATGATCCCAGAGTCCTGGGATCGAGCCCTACATCGGGCTCCTTGCTCTGCAGGGAGCCTGCTTCTCCCTCTGCTTGCTGCTCCCCCTGCTTGTGCTCTCTCTCTCTCTTTCTCTCTCTGACAGATAAATAAATAAATAAATAAATAAATAAATAAATAAATAAATAAAATCTTTAAAAAAAAATAGGGGAGATTTTAAATTATGAAAAATGACAAATAAGGGCATTAGGCCAATACATAAACTTCCAAATGATTAAATGGAAGAAAAACAGAGGTGTACAAGCTTATCAGTGATCTAAAAACATGTACATATATACGTAGACAGACACATTTAGGTCAAAAAGAAATTGTAGTTATGTAAGTAGCTTAATTGAATAGTAATTAGGTTCTTTTTTCATTTAAATTTCCTATAAACTGTCAGACATTTCTATTTTTAAAAGATATACATTTGGGACCAACCCACACGTAATAATTGTATAACACTCACTAATCCAAATATATCAAATTAATAGAGATGCTCTGCCCATTTTCTGCTTCAGCAAAGAGGATGATTTAGACTCTAGACATATAGATGCTTTTTCATAAGAATTATGAAATCAGGCAAAGAGACAATGCTGAAAATGAGCCAAAAAGTTTTTTTTGTGGCAAGAATTTTAGTTGGTTTTTTTTTTATCTGCTTAACATCCTGGTGAGTGGACTAAAACTCTCCATATGAGACTATGGTTTGACAATCTGCTTAATCTGATTTCAATGATCGCCGTGAAATTAAAGATCAATCGCTCAGATGTCAAAATGCCAATTCAATATTCCCAGTATCAGTGTTTTCAAAACCAAAAAGAAAAACATATAACATCCTGGATAAAGACGAGAACACACTCTCAGAGACACATCAAAGTACTCTCTCACCCTTACCAGGAATGTAACAGCAGAGGCTTAAAAGGCAGGCAGAGTTCCTGCCTCTAATATGAACATCAAAATTTCAAGGATTTCCATTAACAAAGAACACTAATGAAGAGCTTTTTAATAGATAGGATTTACTTAGGAAAAACTAAACTAGAAATGAAATTTCTTTCTTTTTTTTTTTTTTTAAGATTTTATTTATTTATTTGAGAGAGAGAGACACAGCGAGAGAGGGAACACAAGCAGGGGGAGTGGGAGAGGGAGCAGCAGGCTTCCCGCCGAGCAGGGAGCCCGATGTGGGGTTCGATCCCAGGACCCTGGGATCATGACCTGAGCCGAAGGCAGACATTTAATGACTGAGCCACCCAGGCGCCCCTAGAAATGAAATTTCTACAGACCAAACTTCAGATCAGTAAATTCTAAGTGAAGCAACAGGAAAACATTTGGGAGAAATCACTCTGGGTGCCCTTTCAAAAGTGGATCAAAAACCCAACTTACTGTGCTGGTTAATAAGCATGCGGAAAGAGATGCGGTTGGTATAGAACCGATCCAGAAAATACTGGATGTTACTGCTAATGAATGGATCAAACCCAAATTTCTCCTTGTATTCAATCACTCCTTGTGCCATTGTAGGAACCACATCGTTGTGTCTATTTCTGACTTTAATGAGAACTTGCAGAAAGCTGTGTGGGAGGGAAATAAAAAGTGGTCAGTCTTTATACCTCACGCACTGATGCATAAACTTCCCAGCGCTGTCTCTGGACTATTTAGGTGCTGGTATTTTTATAAGTAGAGATATTATCATTATGGGCTACAAGGAGAAACTAAAGTATTACCCAAGGTTTTGCTTGGAACTTTCTATCCAAATTCTTTCACAGACACAAAAAGTAAAAGGTTCTAGTAAAGAAAAAATGTTTAAATAACCTTCTTAGGAATCCACTGACTTTATGGAAAAGTGATCACATATAATACAGGTTCCATAAATGTTTGCTGAATAATTGTAGAACACACTAACATTTCTTCTGACAACATGAGGACAATCCCCCCAAATTTCTAGGGATTTATTAGAAGTCTCAAAGCAACAGCTTCCATGAATAAGTAATGTGAAACTTTTTAAGAGTAAAATTTTGAAATGAATTTCTCATAGCAGTCAAATACAGTGATGAAATGTAGACAGAAAAAAGGCAATTAAAACAAACCGAGTCAAGAATTATGGTATATTACTATAAAGATACAGAGGGAAAAATATACTAAGAACAGAGAGACAAGTCGATGGAACCAAACAAAAAGCTTGGAACAAGGCCCAAGGGCAAGTAAGTATGTGTGCATAAAAATTTAGCATATTGATAAAGTGACATTCCAAGTCAGTAGGGAAACCATCAAATTAGCTGGGACAGCTGGCTACCAATTTAAGTCACGTCCCAATTTGAAGCCTTAAGCTAATAACTCAGTTAGAAGGTTTAAACATAAAAGAATAAAATCACAGAAAAAAAATAAAAGAAAATCAGGTGAATAAGTAGATAGTACAGTACGCCTTGGGGTAAGGAAGGCTGTCCTAAGCTTAATACCACAGGTAGAACCCTGAAGAAACAAACGATAGGACTATGCAGAATTTCGGCATAATTCTACAGGGATACAGGTTATTAAAGTCAAAAAAACAAAGTGAAAACTGGGGAAAATACATTTGCAAGAGCTACTGTCTTTAATGAAGGAAAAGATGAGCACCCTAACAGGAAACGAGGCAAGGGATCTGGTATCAATGGGAAATTTACCACAGAGGCAATGCAAATGCCAATAACTTCCCCCTTCAAAAAGAGTAATAGAAAAGCAAAACAATGCAGAATTAGTCTCCACTCATCACACTGGCAGAGAATAACCAGTGTCCTCTAGAGTGTGGAAGCATAACTGATACATTTCTAGGGGCAATTGAGCAACATATATCAAAGACCAAAGAGATTCATTCCACTCCCAGGAATTGATCCTAGGAAAACGACAGAATTCTTAAGAGCCCTGTTTAGAGTAGCAAGAAAAATACAAACCATTCTACAACTCAATGACAGGAGGTCAAATCACATGACTTACCTGTAGACGGACCATTTTGAAACCATTAGTAATGGTATAGAGATCTATAATGTCCACAGTTATTTTTGTAAAACATATTGTGCACATATAAAAATATGGATGCCTAGGAAAAAGTACGGAATGGAAGGAAAATGTTAACGGTGGTTGTCCCCTGGTAATGGAAATTTGGAGTGACTTTCTTTTCACTTATCTGAATAGTCTTAACGTTTCTCAGTGATGAAATACTCCTGTAACAAATACACACACACAAAGACAGCAGAGATGAATAAATCAACTCTGAAACTGGAAGGTCATAATTATTCACAAGAAATTTGATAATGGACAATCTGTCCTCTACATAATGTTCTTTCTAACGTATTTATAAATTCAGTATCACTCAAGTGAAAGATTTCATTACAGTAGAGAAGCACCTCAACTTAGCAGAAGGGAGGAGACTTGCCTCAAGGGCTCAATTCTCAGAACGCTTTCCCCGGTCTTCTGGGGTCTTCTTAACTTTATCATTAAGAGAAACAAGCCTGTTCTCTAAGCTGCTTTCACCTCAGTTAAATGATCTCCGTGCCTGGGACTCCTGTACAGCTTCTCCCGGACTGGAAAAGGCTACCACTATGAGTAAAGCGACTAGCTCACCTTCCTTTCCTTCCTTTGCCAGGGGCAGCGGGCTTCTGAAACCCCAGCTATCCCGACTAGCTGTGTGAACCTGGGCAAGTCACCAAAACTCACTGAGGGAGAGCGATTATCATTATGATCTCACACGCACTGGATCCAGCACTTGGCAGTTTCCAAAGTGGGCTCATGTCCATAAATTGCATCTGACCAATAACCTGTTCCAGAAACTGAGACAGGATTCTGGGAAACATACGGCAGCAATTTAATATTATTTACTTCCACAAATCTATACCCTAAAATTTGAAGCTAGAGAAGTCAGTCCTAATTTCTAGGATGTCAGCAAAACAAACTGTTACTAGCTAATGACTTGTGAGCAAACAAAGCTTCTGGATTCGATTCCTTTAATTTCAGTACATTAAATGAGAGCAATGGCCTCTAGCAAGAACATTGCATCTGGGACTCTAATTCAACGCCTCCCTTTCACAAATCACAAATCCATTTGCAAAACACCTAGCAAAGTATACAACAGGTGGGTATTCTTCCCTCTTGTATTTTAATTTACAACTAAACTGGAGCTCGCTACTCAGGGCGCACACTGGCGGTTCTCGCAGTTGGTAAGTTGTGCACAACAATGCATGATGGAACTGGAACAAGGATTTACAGATCCAGCTCTGCTACCAACTCATGTTACAACTTTGGACAAGTCATTGCTCTTCTCTGACCTCAGTTTCCTTATCTGTGAACTGGAAGGGTTGGGTTGAATGCCTCGAGCTATGGGGTGCTTTTCTAACAGTGTTTCTTAGTTCTTTTTCTGGAATGCCTATATGTAAGGTGTTTGGTGTCACAACTCTGTGGACCAGGATTCTCCATAGAAAAAAATTCTTCAGCACAACAGGCCTTCCATGTGCAGTCCCTCGTGTGTACGTGGAACAGGAGGAAAGTAATGTGAAGGGGATACTTAATTTCTCTTGGGGTAAAAAAAAAAAAAAAAGACAACACTCAGAGCTAGGGTGAGTGTTTTTTCAGTTAAATGAAGATGAAAAAACAGAAACATTTTCCATCAGCTTGAGAAGTTAGCAGCCTTTGTGCGGAACAGGAGCAGAGAATTCAGGTCGTTATATTAAAAGCACACTCTTTTATGCTGCTCCAAAATAAAAGCATTACAGGTTTCCTGAGCTCAACTATTATGCTGCACTGAAAATTTGTTTTAAAAATTGAAAAAAAAAAATTTGTAAAGGACTGAGTAGGTAAATTCAGGTCTATCCAGAGGCCACTGCATTCTTAAAACTACCACTAGGTGGTACATTTACTGCAATATTTATAGTGAGTGGCCGGCACCAGTTCACCAGGAGTGAAAATTTATTAAGATCTAGATCATGAAACATAATTTAAAGGGTCCTTATTCCTTTTGTGCTATGTTAAATTAACGTAAATTATTTAAAAATGTGATATTGAGTTGTTACCCATTAACAAACTTAATGCTTTCATCCAAATTACACTTCTTGGTTCTTAATGACATGAGTTCCATTTACCAAAACATTTTTTAACCTGGATGTTTTTACTGTCAGGTAAGTTTGGTACCATACTTACTTATCCAAGACCTGTGGATCTTCAGGGCTCTTATTCTCGTATTCTAAAAGTTCAAGAAAGCTCTGCATATACCTAAAAAAAGACGAGTTACTCTGTTAATTGCCTACCCAACATCCATTCCTCCTTTCCCTCTTCCTAAGAGTACCCTAAATCTTCACTCAGGTATCTACCCCATTCCCCACCATCACCAATTGCAGCCCAAGTGCTGCAGGGGAAGCCGATGCCATGCAAAGCTCCTGGGTGGCCTGATTTTTCTCTGGGTAATAGTATTTTTCTCGTCACTGATTACTAACTAGTCCAGTAGTCTAGGCCTAAGCCTGTCATTGCATTGCATTCCCCTGAACAAAGGGACTGGCTCAGGAATGGGCACACTACCTCAATTCAGGCCAGTAAAATAAAAGGGAAGACGTGGTGGGGGTCTTTGGGAGAGAAATTAACTTGCTCTGCTTTTTGTACAGTGGGCTATGTAGATGTAAACCCTGGAAAGGTTGCAGCTGTTCTGCCACCAGGAGGAAATCCAGCCTGAAAATAAAGCCGACATGGAAAGCAGGGCCTTGATAATCTCATGAAATCTCTAAATCAACCAACACCAAAAGCTCATCCTATAGCTACACGAGCCAATGTATGGTTTAGTTGGATTTTCTGCTACTCACGAACATATTCTAACTGGTACACCAAATCTACAGTTTGATTAGCCAAGATGTGCATATGAATTGTAAGGAACACAGGTGTGACACTAAAGTGCATGCTGAGAACTTCGAAACTAGAAATAAACAGTTCCTTCTCAGAGTTAAACTAATCTCATCAACACTGCAGAGGAGGAGACGGAATGCCTCTTAGGTCCTCAGAAACAGCTTCTGGATTAAAAATAGCTACATATCTCAATCAGGGCCAGGACAGGAAATAATGTGTGCAAAATAAATATCTGGAGAACACAGAAAAATGGGATCCAGAGAGGCACATTACTGAGGCAGCTATATCCGGACAGAACCTGCTGGATCTGGAGGAGATTCAGAGATGCCAATTACTCAGAGGTGTGTCATCTCTGCTTTGGATCTGAACATGCCCCGAAAGAATTATCCCTTGATATAATTATTTCTAACAATTAATTACCACTAATCCTCCTATCCAGCTTTGGAGGGAGGATGAGGGTACTCCAGTAACAAAAAATGACTGCAAAGCATATAAATACATGAACAGGAATAATGTTTTATTAATCAGCCTCACTTGAACTTTGTAACGATGCGTGATACTAAAGTATGTTCATCTCTGGATATCCTTTTTAAAAGCTTCTGGGCAAATCAGGCTATGGATTAGGCACTGTTGAAATCATCAGGTCAAACCTCCCGCAGAGGGCAAAGTCAGCCAGAGGCAACAAGGCCCTCTATCCTGTCACACGCCAGCAGGATTCTAGGGAGATAAGCAGTTCACTTAAAGAGCAGAGTCATGAGTGGAGAGGAGCCAAAGATGCTGCTGAGCTTCCCAGCCTGAAAGTCAAGAGAACAAGGAGAACACACTCTCGCTGAGGTGAGCTTCACGGCCTATTATGAGTAAGAGTCACTTTTAAGCGGAAAAGGAAATGACAGCTAAGCACAACGTGTGATCCTAAACTGGATTCCTGCATTGGGGAGGCGGGGATTGCTGGGGGCGGGGAAAAAAGAGCACTATTGGGGCACCTGGGTGGCTCAGGCGGTTAAGCGTCTGCCTTCGGCTCAGGTCATGATCCCAGGGTCCTGGGGTCCAGCCCCGCATTGGGCTCCCTGCTCAGCGGGGAGTCTGCCTCTCCCTCTCCCTGCCCCTACCCCCCTCGTGCTCTCTCTCACTCTCTCTCAAATAAATAAATAAAATCTTTTTTAAAAAAGAGCACTATTAGGGCAATTAATGAAACAAGAACAAGTTCTCCCACATTAGAAAATATTACTAAATCCATGTTAAATTCCCAAATCTGATAATCATACTGTGGTTTTCTAAGAGTTGTTCTAAGGAGATACATACCGAAGTTGTTAGGGGTAGAGGGGCATGTCTGCCATTAACCCAAATGGTTTAGGGAAAAAAATAGTGTGTATCATATATGTTATGTGTGTACCACGTTTGATATACCCTAAATGTACACACACACACACACACACACACACACACACACACATCCAGAGAGAGTGAGCGCAAATATGAATGAGAACAGCAGGACAAATGGCACCGGATGTTAACAATTAGTGAATCTGGGAGAAGGTATATGGCAATTCTTGCTACTAGTCTTGTACATCTTTCTGTTATATAGGAAATTATTTCGAAATTGATTTTTTTTTTAAAAAAAAAAAAAGGAAGGGGGCGCCTGGGTGGCTCAGTCGTTAAGCGTCTGCCTTCGGCTCAGGTCATGATCCCAGAGTCCTGGGATCGAGCCCCACATCGGGCTCCCTGCTCGGCGGGAAGCCTGCTTCTCCCTCTCCCACTCCCCCTGCTTGTGTTCCCTCTCTCGCTGTCTCTCTCTCTCTCTGTTGAATAAATAAATAAAATCTTTAAAAAAAAAAAAAGGAAGAAGTGACACGCATGTGTTTGGGATGGCTACAGAAGAGAAATGTGAGACCAAAAAAAAAAGAGCTGACCCCAGCATTTAAGTCTATACTTCGCCAGCTGAATCACTTTGAAGCCTCCGAAGTAACTTTTACATAAGCGATAGGCAGCGTGACTGTCAGTCACTGCCACCAGGCCCAGGGAACTTGAAGGCCAGCTAGTCAACCTCCAATCCCCACCACAATGACCCCAATAGTGACTGTACACTTTCTGCGGGAAAATTTCGGATGATGCTCTTGAAGCAATAAAGAAATTTCAGGCAAACAAGCACTCGCTGCTCCTGCGCACTCGCTGCTCTTGCTGGAACAAACTCTGCATCTGGGGTAGGAAGCAACGGAGGAGGAGAGCGAAGTGTTTCTCGAATATATGTGAATCCCTTTCTGAAAATACACCACCTGCTCTTACATCCTACCACTCACCGACCTCACCCTGCTTACCTAGTGGGTAGATGAGTCACAAATTCAACTTCCTCAACTAAATAACACATGTTTGCTGCATCCGAGCTGTACGTCACCAAACTTTATGTCATTCTCTGTTGAGATTTTTTTTTTTATTTTTCATAAGGCAAATGAAGCACATTACGTACTGGCATTTTTACAATCTGAGGTTCCCCTTTAAATGACTTAATTTTCTCTAACAGAAATACTGCCACCAAGAAACTCCTTTAACAGGAAAACAAAAGGAGCAAGACTGAGACTTGATCAAAAAGTGGCAACATCCCCTTAATCCAACGGATTGCAGACCAGTCCATGTGGGCTCCTTTAAATTTTTCTGTACTTTCTAATCTTTGTTTCAGTGAACAATTACATTTATAACCAGAAAAATAAAATTTGAAAAGTCAAGAAAGCTGTCTTGTACAGTTTAGAAGTCTTTTCATTAAGACAGTGTGAAATTGTCAGGTTAAAAAAAAAAACAAAAAACTTTTAACTGCTTGGAAAATTGCAGCTATCCTGAATGACTCATTCCCACACATGCCATACACATACTTTTAGGGAAAATGGGATCCATGCCAGGTGTTCAGAGCATTATGGGAAGACTGATCTAAAGCCACATTATTTACTTACCAACTCTGAACCAACCCCACCGAAGGGCGGTTAAGCAAGTTATCCGGCAGAAGATTAACTTCTCTCATTGTGTTGGCCAGTCTTACAGGAAGCTCCTTTCGTAGAAACATATATGAAGTTTTCTCACATGCATTATCTCTCCCTGTTAAGAGACAATAAGTGTTCCATGATTTTATAATCTAACAGATGGAATAATAAAGTGCTCTCATGATAGCATGGTTACTGGTTAGGAGGAGAAAATTAAACAATCCTGCAGTCTCTAGTGAAATTTTTATCCTCTGAAATTGCAAGTTTAAGAAAATAATTTAATTAGAATAGAAAAAGAACATTTATTCCAAGAGGCAACCTTGAAAGCAGTTTTTTTTTTTAACACAAATACATTTCTAGTGTTACCGTTAGTGATACAAAAATGACCTGGGATATAATCTGAATTTGTTTTCAAATAAACACTGTGGGAAAACTGCCAAGTACAAAAGTAGGAAAACATGTAAATCCACTCCTGTTCACAGGGGTTTCCAGAAGGCAACAGACCCATTCATTCCACAAATATTCACCACCTGTGTGTCAACTGCTTCTTCCTAAGGTTTTCTTCAAATGTGTTTCTCCAGGAATCAGAGCTTTGTCACCCTGGGAAGCAGCCACAGACCTGCTCTGATTAAGACACGGGGCTCAGGATGTGCCAGAGAAAGCAGCTCACAGGTGCGCTCAGAAGCAGAGCGATCTACTCTGATATGTCCAAGAGGTAAGACCCAGTGTTGACCATAAAGACAGAGGTCACAGAGTCTTCTGTTGGTTGCCCTGAGCTGGTTGTGCATAAAACTTATATAACTAGGACACAGTGAGAGAAAAGGGACACAGCCACCTGAATGAGGAAACCTGAGCCTCTTCCCCAGCTGCTTTGACCAGAGCAGCATGGCCCCCAAGTCCTGCTGTAAACCTGATGATGGCTGGGGGACGGGGGACATGAGAGAAAGGACATGAGCTTTGGGGACAGCAATGTGCTTCAGCCCCAACTCCTCCGTTTTGGGGGTAAGAAACCTTTGGTAAGCTTAATTGCTCTAAATCGCAGCTGCCCTAACCTGTAGAATGGGGATGAAGTTTCAGTTTTTGTAAAGACTAAATGTGGTAACAGGTATGGAGCCTGACACAAAGCAGGTGATCAATAAACATTAGTGTTCTGTCCTCTGTGATACTTACGGGTCCATCCCAACTCCCTCACACTCCATAGGCCTTCCTGATGCTCCATACTGCTGGGAGGCTGTTTGGAGATGGGCAACCTTGGGGCCAGGCCCAGAGACAAACAAGTAAGGCTCGGGGAACACTTCTCTCCTCCAAACTCTCCTCATTCTTCCAAATATGATACAGGCCGCAAACCAGAGATCCAGAAATAAATCTGATTTGCTAACACTTGCAGCCAAGTTCTGGTTTATTCCTTTCCTCTCCCCACTGAATAAGACTAGAAATAAAAGAACCCACTCATGAAAGTCATCTGCAGAACCATTCTTTCCCCCCACTGACCCCTGAGCCCCCTTCTCCATGTTAAAAAAGTTAGAATAAAAGATTAGTCTTACACAATCCATCCCTTACTTCCCTCATTCTAGGTGAATATACTGAAGGCCTTTGGTGCGTCTTTAACTCATCAATGATTCTGTCTTCCACTTTTCCCCTGAGTGAGGAAAAAGGGGTGTGATATCCCAGCAATGACCTTCCATCATCTACTCTATACACATTTATTTGGCTCCAGATGATTAACATTTAAAAGGACTCTGGCTGTTTTGCTTCAGATAATATGTATCATTCCTAAAACGCTCTGTAGGATTCTTATAGACGAATCATTTTAAGTGCACTAAAAGTGCTGATACTTAAATCACAGTGAATCGTACCACAAAATGAAGGACCTGTTATTATCTAAGGTAAAATGTACATCTAACTTTTCACATGCCAGGACAAACACTCTGCATCCTGGTTAAATAGAAAGGACACCTTTTTTTCAAGCATAGAAGAAATGTCTCCGTTCTCCCTGTAGGAGAAGCAAGTGAGGGAATGCAGGAGGAGAGGAAGGGGCCCACGGGGGTTGAATTGGAACTGTGAGTAGCAGTATGAACTCAGGATTTGAAAAAATTATCTCAGTTTTTTGGACATTAAAGTTTACGTGTTTCAACTGCCATGTCCACAGCATATTAGGAGCCGCAAACTGGAAGCCTAGGGCGGGGTGGGGGGGGGGGGGGAGAAGTGGGAGCTGGCTGGCAGGTGGCAAGGGGCCGTCAGGCCACATTTGTGTTGGAAACGCACAGGCCTAGACTGTTTCAGAATGTCAAGGTTTTCCGACTTTCGGAAGGTAAAAGGAGTATGTACATCCACTGTCTATGATATAGACACGATACAGCTGCGGTGAAATCATTTAAATGGAGCAGAAAAAAGACCATGGCCTGAAGTAAGTTCAGGTCATGTTTTGCCACCAAAGGTATGAAAAAACAACTACAAGTTTTAGAGCTTTTTTTTTTTTTTAAAGATTTTGTCAGAGAGAGAGCGCGCGCGAGCGTGCACGCGCACAAGCAGGGGGAGTGGCAGGCAGAGGGGGAAGCAGGCTCCCGGCTGAGCAAGGAGCTTGATGCAGGACTCGATCCCAGGACCCTGGGATCATGACCTGAGCTGAAGGCAGCCGCTTAACCAACTGAGCCACCCAGGCGTCCCAAGTTTTAGAGCTTTTTGAACTTCAGAATTCAGATAAAAGACAGGAGACCTCCAGAACAATATATTAGGCCAAGATCATGTGCCAGAGTTAGACTTGGGTTTGAACGCTGACTTGAGCCTCCCGAGCTTTATGGACGTGGCAAGTGTCATTACACTTCTAAGCCCCTGTACAGTCGGCTACAGGAACACTACCTACTTCATAGAGGTGTAGTAAGGGTTAAAAAGTGCTTAATATATAACACCACAACCTCTTAAAATTTAGAAGAGGGGGCTCATTAAAGAGCCAGCACTAATGATTGCAAAGGATGATAAAGCAGAACAGCCTGAGGCCATGGGGCGCCAGAGCAAATAACCTGATACTTGCTAAGCCCTGAGAGCTCTGCTACATTCTGGTCCAGTGCGGTTGCCTCTGCTCATTTGATGATTCTACATAATTAAAAAGGGATTAAAAGGGATTAAAGTATGTTGTGTCCCTACCATCCACTTTTATTTATTTTAAAATAAAAGGCCTTTGGTCACCTCTGAACTAACTAGAAAATTCAACGACTAGGTATGGTCTAAGATAACCAAATACCAGGAGGCATTTATTCTAGCCCTCTTGGATTATCAGCTTGTTATGAACGAGCAGAGAAAGAACCGTGTTTTGTCTCTGTATCCCCCATGGCAGCAATGAGAGGACTTGACCTATGGTAGTTTCTCAATGATTTACTGGGAAGATAGAGAATACTTTTAATACTTTTTAAAAAAAGAATACCTGAAAAATCTCAGGTTTTGCCTCCTACATTCTTACTTAGCTTTAGAGATGAATTCTTTGTACTCAGATACCTTAATTACACATCAGTTTAAACAAGGGGGTAAGCCTTTTTTAGTTAATTAGTGAACTTAAAAATAAATATGAAAGGTCCAACATTTTTTTAACCTTTCTGTGGTTTTCATGGAAGTTGAAAGTATTTTGTCCTATGTACTAATGCTGGATACTCAGTTTAAATCAAAGAGTTCCAACAATCTTTTTTTGGTTTTTTGTTTGTTTGTTTTTTACTCAACTTAAAAAAGTTTTTTGGTTTTAATTTAATTTGGTTTTAATTGAATGTCCTCTATGAGGCTTCAGGTTTTATAAGTCTTCTGGCATACTGAGTATTTTCCAGTGATTCTTTCCAGTTATTCAGCTTCATTTTTTCCCCACTTGCCTTCTCTACATTCCTTAATTTTGATTTTCTATTTTTATTCTGCATTTCTCTGTATGCTTCACCTTATTCAATTTTACCAATTAAATTTTTTCCTAGCATCAGTTCAGAGGATGATGAAAGAGTGGGTGAGGGGCAGGGAACATTCTCTGATTTGGTGAATGCAAATAAGTCATTGTAGTTTAACTGCATTCATTTGTATTTCTTCAGGTTTTCATGCTCATTTGATGACCCTTCAATTCTCTTCTGTTCTCTGTTTTTCTTTTTTGTTTAAAGATGTATTTATTTATGGGGGGGGGTGGGACTTTCAAGCAAGTGCAGGGAGCCATCTCGGTGACAGTTACGGTTAGAAAGGAGCGTTTGACCAGCCTTCTGAGAGCAAGAGTTCAGACTTACTCTTTATACCTGGTTTCCAGAGAGGCCTGTATGTCTGGTAAATCTTTAATCCTCTTTCTGATTAATTTACAGGAAGCAGAATATTTCTCCAGTTAATAAAGTGACCTGATAATGTATCTTACAATTAAAGCAGAGGGTTGAGCACATGCCCCCCAAAATGGAGAGTCTCCTGTCTAGATTACTTGAGGGCTCTCCTTGTCCACATCTTTCAGTTTTAACACTTGCTGGGGATGGTTTGGAAGAGGTAATAAGAGAATCAGGGAGTGAAAAAGGAGAGCAAGGAAAGAAAAAATTACAGCAAGGCATCAAAAACCAACAGAATGATCAACTCATTCTAGTTATGCTGGTTTTTTTTTTTTTTTCTAAATACTGCCAATTAAATGTTTGAGTCTGCAATGTATTTTTACCATTAACCATGCTAAAATGGGTAAAATATAACTGAGAAAATACTTTAGGGACAGCTCTGATTTTTCTCCAGTTACATCTTTGATAAGATTTCAATCTTTTGAAAACACTGAATTTTAGAATCATAAGTAATTAAATTTTGGCTAAGCAATAATTAATTGAACTGTCCTTCAAAAGAAAAGCTTCGCATATTTTTAAAATGTTTACTCTATGTCTAGAAATACTTCGCTGTTTGAGAAGTTTCAGTTTTCCTTTATTTAGAAAAATTTATTCCTGAATATAAACAGAGATCAATAGAGGTAGCTTGGGTCTACCAAACTTGAGGCTGTCTCCACTCTAGGCCAGACTGTGTTTTGGTTATTATTACTAATGGTGAGCCAGAAACTTCAGAACCAAAGAGGCCAAAGACTGTGGATTTCACACACACCTCATTCCCTATCAAATTCAATGCCCCAACA